TNTAGTAGTATTCTGGTAGTATTCTAGTAGTATTCTAGTAGTATAAGAGTATGAGTAGTATTAGAATTAGAATTATTATTAGAAGCAGTAGTTGTAGTATAGGATTATTATTATTATTATTATTATTATTATTATTATTATTATTATTATTATTATTATTATTATTATTATTATTATTAGTAGTAGTAGTAGTAGTAGTAGTAGTAGTAGAGGTTGCATTTCTTGTTGTAATAGCAGTATAGAAGTAGTAGTATGTAATAGTACATTCATAGGGCAAATCTAAAGCCACTGCTTGTTATGCGCTTAAGTGGAAAAGTAGCCCAAGCGAGCTGTCCCATTCCTTGCTATCACCTCCCGCAAGTTCGTGTGTAACCACTAGGGTACATAGGGCTTATTGGAGTACGCTTTTCGTTAGCTAGGAGCTCCTTTCATCAGCACCGTTTTACTCATCCTATAAGCTATGTTTTGTACGGCTACATATAACGCAAGTTGTACTACATGTGAACGGCAATGAGGGCTTATGGCTTAATGGATAAAGCGCCGGTCTACGGAACCGGAGATTCCAGGTTCGATCCCTGGTAGGATCGGAAGTATCGCAGATACGGCTGTGCAGTCGCTCGAACGTGCAAATCATGCAGAAGCGTACCCTTGGGAAAAGATGTTATCTGCGGAATTGAAATGTTAATGTATGGTGTTATGGTACAGCGGACAGGATGGTCAATCTCATCAGGATGATCATCATCCACATGTATAACTTCGTGTATCGCAAAGACTGAAGATTTTATGGGAATCGACAAAGGAGTTCGGTGACGGAATCCATGTTGTAACCCTTTCCTTCATATAACGAGATAGCCCTATGGCATAAAACGAGGGGTAACCCCCCCTTAAGCATAACCCAGGGGTTAGGGGTAGGGGTAAGGGTAGGGGTAAGTGGTTACCCATGTGGCTATGTACGAAGGGGGGTGGGTAACCTAACCCCGGGGTAGGGGTAACCCCTTACCAAGGGGTAACAAAGGGGTAGGGGTAGCCCCTTACCAAGGGGTAACAAAGGGGTCGGGGTAATATTGTACTGAGGGGTAACAGACAGGGTAACCCGTGTTTACAAGTGTTCCTTGTCCGTATGCCGGGCCATATGCTGGTGTCAATGGATTGTAAGTATGTCCCTGTCCAACCTGCCTACACATGCTATCACAGCTGTCTCATCCATCTATGTGAGCACGTATGCCTATTTCGCCTATGTAAAAAAATATTTGCAAGCCTCTCTATACACTTCCATCCATGCATATGCCTGTATTAAGCTCACATGTCTACACATACAAACATACATGTTCACCAAACACTTCGAGTGTACAATTGTAAAGATTGCCTCACCAACACAAGCCTTGCAGGGCTGAAGAGCCCGCCCATGGCCCCAGGCTCGGGGTGTGTATAAACTCGCTAATTACACCAACGTCATCATATCAAGAGAAAGGAAATCAGACCCAGCCCCCAGATTCAGTTCCGTATGATCTGATGTACGGCTCCATACACATGTCTCACTAAATGAGTTCCTGACTCCGATAATCAAATATCGGATAATCAAATATTTCTCCGATATTTGATTAATCCGAGGTCTCCCACCACGGGGACTCTAGA